CCACACACACACACAATAATTTTAAATTAAAAATGTTTTTAAAAATCCCACACAGTGAGGTCCGGGTATCTGACAGGCTAACCGCAGACAGCAAGGTCTTTAGTGCCTCCCCTACCAATCCACCGCTGAGGCACGGTTTCATTCAAATAAGATCGAACCCAGAGATGCTAATGGGGTGGAGCTACGTCTTGTTGAAAAATGAAGTAATTCGAATCTGCAAGCAGGGGAGGGAATATCCACTTCTTGTGGGGGTATGTTAAAGACAAAGTCTTATGTTCCGCCACTTCCAGCAAATATCAAAGATATGAAAGATCGAATAACAGCTACAATCAACACGGTGGACTTGGGACATCCTGAGGCGCTTTTGGGAGGAATTCTGAGAAGCTGAGAATGTTTCTGAGTGTTCTCTGTTCTGCTGGGGTAACAATATAGTGTAAAGGGCAAGAGCTTGCTGTCATGTAGAGCGGGGTAATGCGCTATACAAGGGCTATTTATTTCTCATATCGGCTTGATGCTGTTGTCTGTGCAACAGGTGGTGGCCACATTGAACACTTGTTAAACATGAAATAAAAACTTGGAAGGTATGTACAACACACGTTTCCGAGCTGGAGTTTTCTATTGGTTTTTTTTCTTCTTCTTTAAATATCGCTTGGTGATTTTTCTGTATTCTTTTTTAGTCACCCTTTTTAGTTATATATTTACATATATTTAAAACGCAAATGTAGTTATGAACATTGTTGCTTATTAGTTTTGTGCAACTTTCAGTGCTTATCACGCTGTCACTTTGTTTGATGTTAGTAGTTACGATTTTAGCAAGACTATAAAATAAGCTTTACAGGGATGTAGAAATTGGGAGTCCCTGAGATATGGAACTGAGAACCCAAGCTTCTCAGACAAGGGTCGACGTAAAATTTGGGAGTCACCGCAAAACTTTAAAGGAGGGACACTTGGTTAGTCTGAACTCTATGAAAAGTGCCCTCGGTGTTTTTATCAGAACTGGTTCAACATAAAATGACATAATAACGGTCTACTTATCCCCCCCCCCTTTCCACGCACATACACTCTTAAAATCAGATAAAATTGTTTTTTACGTCACACATTTACACCCACATTGGTATCAAGGGGTGGACACCCCCGAATGTGTATAGTAGGTCAAGTAAATTCCGAATAGAGGGCACAAGTAAACCTTTACCGATAAAACAGACTTTATTGATCCTCCACAAGAAGAACTTTATTTCGCAAAGTTTTCTCTACTGACGTCCAAATTTGTTAGTTAATACACAGTAAACATTTAAACAGATTTTAAAAATTCGTAAACACTAAACATCACTTCTTACGATGCAAGTCTTCACATATACATTTTTAGCACTGCAGTCAAACCTGCTACCACCTGTCCCAGACAATCATCTGCACAAACGACAACTTCCCATTCTCCCACTTGCCTTTTTCTTAACTACATCGAAACGACACTGTCCAAGACAACAACAACAACTTTTCTCCTCAACAGCGGGTGGCTATCTCGGACAATTTACACTGGACTTTGAAAATATATACTGACCGATGGTTGCCTCGCAGTAATTCTCCAGGGCAACTTCATTAGCAATGTTAGCGCCCATGAGAACAGCACATGGAATGTTGAGAGAATCTCTGATCACATCGGAAATCAATCGGATGCCGCCACCTTCTGCGACTTCAAAACCCTGAGCGAGAGAGAGAGAGACGTAGAGTAAAACCCTCTTCTAGCTTGCTGGTATAAGAAATGCTGCACAACACTACTTCATAACTGGGAAAAAAGTCCACCAAAAGGAAGAAATAATTTTTTCTTTATTGTTAAAGAAATCTTAAATATTAATTCCTATTATTAACGCCATAAGAAATACAGTAGAGTCCGCTTAAACTGAACACATTTAATAAAAAAACCCAGCAGCAAACTGAAAAATAATAAAATCCTCAGTTTTTTTTCTTCTTCTATAACTTGAACAACCTCTCCAAACCAAAAACTTAGCTGAACTGAAGAAAATCCAGCGGTCCTGTAGATTTCGGTTTAAGCAGACTCCAATGTAGTAGAAAAAAAAACTCCCAATAAAATAAACTTGGACAAAAAAAGAAACATCAACATAAACTATTATAAGAAAGGCCACAAGGTTCGGTTTTGAGCTCGTAAGCTGTTCTTGAGAAGACAGAGATACATGTGTACATGTTGCGGGTTCGGGGGTTCGAGCCGTGGGCCTGATGTTGTGTCCTTTCGAAAAGCACTTTACACGAATTTTCCTCACTTCACCCAAGTGGGAATGGGTGCCCAGCCATAGACAGCAAAAGATCTCGTCAGTATGTTAGTGTCTTAGCGTCTATAAATGGCCGCTTGCACTGTTGGAAGTTGAGGTTGTTTCAGAATGCTCTCAGGTCTGTTGGGGTGGGTAATAGTATAGATTGTGAAGCGAATAGAGCTTGCTGTTGAGCTGGGAGTTGCGCTATACAAATGTTATCTCTTTTATTATTACTATTACTTTTTAAAGAATCTCTCCACAAAAGAATCTAACCAGCATCTATGACATGTTACGGTGAGGCTGCTACCCACTACACCACAGACGTAGGTGGAGAGGCACAGTTTAAGAGCAATACATACTCATTTGCTGACGCGAGTTGCTGTTTGGACGAAGCCAATGTTTACATCATAAAAACAGTGACAAACGCATGCCAATAAAAACTACTATAATAAAATTATCTTCACTCTAAAGCTTCTGTGCAGAAACAAAACATACTCAATACACATGTTTAAATACATAACGTCTGCAAGCTGTTCAAATGTATTAAGTAAAGAAAGCAAAATTATAATTTGTTTAAAAACAATTGTAACTACTTTTTTTGTTTTTGTAATGGATTATTTTTTTCTTCAAAATTTAGAGTTTGAATTTCGACAAAACATTTCTTGAGCACTTGCAACAGATACCAGTTTCAGAAACTGCAATTTTTAAAAAAAAGAGATAAAAATTACAATTTAAAAAAATTGCACTTAGTAAATTTGAACAGCTGGCAATTGATAAATTAATTATTAACAAACTGATATAAGATAGACTTGTTAAAGCTTAACTAAGCATTAGTCGTTTTATAACAAATTGTCCTATCCTGCAGAGTTGATAACGACATGATGCACAATCAAGATTTGCTTCCTCAATCTCCCAAATATGGGAATGGTTGTTTTTTTTTTTTGTTAAGATGAAAAAAAAAAAGTGTACCAAATCGGCGGTAATCTACACTAGTTTCAGAAAAGTTTAAGTGTTTTTTTTTCTCATAGTATCTGACTTATGGATGTTTGAAATTGTCTCTGACAGGGCAAAACAATAGAAAACACAAAGTCCAAAGAATTAAGAGACGGTATTCATTGAATACACAGGTGTGTATATTCACATATATAAATTATTATACAGGGTTATTTAAAAAGAATACGCCAAAATCATCACAGATATTTTTAAAACGATAAATAATAGAAAACTCTAGCTTGGACACGTGTGTTGCATATATACCTTCAAGTTTTTATTTCATGTCTTATAAGTGCTCAATGTGGAAACAACCGGCAGCACGGACAACATCAAGCCGATATGAAAATACTTCCCAAACGTGCCTCAGAATGTCTCAGGCCACCATGTTGATTGTAGCTGTTATTCAATCTTTCGTGCCATTGGTATTTGCTGGCAGTGGTGGAACATAAACTTTGTCTTTAACAGGACCCCCC